TTAATTGTGAGATGCCACATGTTTTTGAAATGAGTATGTTTGAGCCTTTTTCACTGCCCACTCCTTTTCCTCTGGATATTTCTCTCTGAACCTTCTTGTGATATGTTTGGTAGATAGTTGCCACATTGTCCCCTGCTTTCTGTCAGGATAGGGCGAATGTCTACCTCTTTCAAAGGGCTTCATAACTTTCATGTCATATATTGATTGGTATTCAAGTTCTAAAATAATGTGACTTGAGCACACCACCTCACCAGTTTTGTTGATGACCATCAGCCTAAGGGACAAGCCTTCAGATGCTGCATTTGGATTTGATAAGTACCTGGAAGTCCTAAAGTCTGTTTAAGCCACTTCCTTCTGTAAAACTATAGTAAAAGTCCTATGAGAGAACACCAGTGCTTCTGTATATAGTTCTGGCTGCACCAATTAAACAGTGTAGCATATGGGCCTCATCTACCCAAGATGCTGACTGCGCGATAGCTTGAGACTAGGGGATAGGCAGGAAGAGATGGAGATTGCGGGGAGAAGAGTTAGTTCAATTAGTTCAAAGTTCAAAAAGTTTCCATTTTAATTTTGAGTGGGGCTGTTTGGTTGTTTTTCTTATTTTGTCACCTGTCCGTGATGGCCAGGGATCCTGGTTTTCTCTGATTAAAAAAAAAAATCCTCAATTTTCGGATTAAAAAAAGTAAGCCAAAATCTACATTTTTCCATGATTAAAGTGAAACACCACTATATATACATCTATATGAAGTGGCCTTACATTTTAATCTCAGAAAAATGTGGATTTTGGGTTACTTTTTTAAATCCAAAAATTGGGAATTTTTTTTTTTTTAATCAGAGAAAACCAGGGTCCCTGGTGATGGCAGACCTAATGTTTAGAACCAACTGTATGTTATTTTTGCACAGAAGAAAGGAAATGCCCTTCATATTTTAGCATTCTTTATCACTTTATTTCATTGTGTTCAGAAACGTTCTTTTCTTGTCCATTTCCCTTATGGCTCTGAAACTCCCTTTTATATGCTATCAGTTATTCTACAATTACTATATTTGCCACCATAGAGGAATTAGCCACGATTTCTGCTTTTCTGACTTTGTTGATAGGTCCAACTCATTTTCTACATTTGGGCTGAATGTTGGAGAGTTGCATCAGGTGTTGCAGTTCAGTGCTGACCTACTCAACCTTAGTTGACTTCCCAGACAGTCCAACTCAGACTTCAAGTTAAATGCCAAGAATGCAAAAAAGCCTCTTTCTGTGGAGTCAGGAAATGTTAGTAACGTATCTTCCTCTCAGGATTCGTGTTTCCAACGTACTGTAAAGTCCAATTAAAATATGTTGTCCCTGATACCAGTCACAGCAATTGAGGACTCTGGGATAAAGCTATGTAACAATTAGCTAGAAAAAGGGTGTGTTTCAACTAGAACTATGGACAATGCCTGGTTGACAGATAATGGGATCTGTTAATGAGGGAATTGCAGCTCTTCATTAGAGTCAGTGCTTTCCTAGAAAGAAGTGTAAATACAGTCAAGCATAGGTATGAATTCTACTGTCCTTAATTTAGTGGAATTATCTTTGGTTTAATTTAGTAGTTACCTTTGGTTTGGCTCATAGTCCAAAATTTTGACTCGCCATACTTACTCGAATCCAAGACAACGTTTTCCCATACATTTAATGTGGGGGGGAGGAGGGTGCTCATCTTGGATTTGAGTTCAAGTGTGTGTGTGTGTGGGGGGGCAAACATTTGCTGTGGCTCCAGCTCCAGCCCTGGACCAGGGCCAGAGTTGAAGCTACAGCAGCTGCCTGTCTCCTGAGTACCTGGTCCCTGCTGCTACCTTTGCCCCCCTGTCACCGATGCCTTTATTTCCCCATCCTGCCCTCCATCACTTACCCTCCACAGCCCTGGCTCGAAGGCTGCAGCTGTCACAGCCACAAGCACTGCTGCTGGGCCAGGCAGGGGCTAAAGCAAATGCATGCTCCATAACTCAGACCGGAACTGAGCCATTCCAAACCCATGGAGGAGAAGCAGGATGGTGGGAGGGGTCAGGTGTCCAGGACTAGATGTGGGGGGAGGTAAACAGGGGTAAATGGTGAAGGGGGCAGATGCCGGGAAGTGCAGGCATTTGGGAGCAGGTGGGAGCAAGGGCAAATGGCAGGGGTCAGGCAGCAAGGGGATCAAATGGTGTGGGGAGGGCAGATGGCAGATGGCAGGGAAGCGGAGAAGGGGGCAGGCCACTTGGCTACCTCCAGCTTCTGCTCCCCTCTTGCCCCCCCACCCCCCACTACCAGTTCCCTGTTGTTGCTTGCTCCACTGCAGTGGTGGGAGGAACAAATTTAAGACAACACTCTAATAGTTTCTAATAGATACTATTCATGGAAAATTATAACTAATTATTGGGGGGTCATCTTAATTTCTAAGTTTTCTTATATTTCAGTAAATATGGTATTTCATTTTGAAAACTTTCTACCAACATTTTGATTTTATCCCTTTTACTGGCCATTTGGACTCAGTCTTATGAAATGTTAAGTCCCTCTGACTGCCAAATCATCCCAATTCTTCTGACTCTGAAGCTCCTCAACATTTCACAGATGTTTTCTGCAGGGTTGCGTGGTCGTATCTTTTCCTTTCACATCTGAATGAAACAAAAGTTTCAAAACTTTTTGCAGAAATATTATATGAGGGGGAAAACTCCAGCTCTAACCTTCTCGATAACATTTTTATTTAAATGAACCTGTTTTCACCAAAAGAAAGAATAATTTAAAATGCCATTTTTTTTAACTAAAAGTTGTACAAAAAATTCTTCACCAGATCTTGTGCTGTCATATGAAGATCCGAGCCTGAGTTTACTTGGAAAATATGGGTTGTGGCATGTGAGGCAAGAACACTTAACTGTGAAGAAAGATGCTATGTAAAAATTATGAGTGAATCATTATTTCAGACTTTGCCTTACGAGTTTCAAACTGTTCTGCTTTTAGAATTATTCAGTAACTAGAGGGGTGGATAATAAAGGGGTAGGATGGACTTCCATTCTACATGCTTGTCGACACTGGCAACCGTGAGTCACTAAAAAACAACCTGAAAAGTAGAGTTGCTCAGTTTTTACTGTTTAATTCCTGATTTTCCTTTAGTATGTAGACATTTTTCTTTCTTTTACTACAAGAGCTCTGAAGGTTTCATCAAACATTAAACTGCATTTTAAAAATAAAAAGACACCATTTTGGTTACCATGCCTGAGGAGGCAGGCCTGAGAGGGGCCTTATATGGCTGCATACAAATGCAAAATGCAGGTAACAGAGCCAGATAAACAGAAATGCTTACTGGATGATACGTAGCCATACAGTAAGATGGGTTGCATTAGATCCATTGTAGAGGGGAGTACTTATGGACTAAGCATGCCAAACTGCATTGCACTGCTTCCCAGTATGGTCCACAGGTAGTATGGACAAGCTTTTTGAGTTTTCACCTACATAGAACTTACATTACTTTTAGTGGGACATTGCACTGAGCAAAGTAATTATTACTTGGCAGGATTCTGGTCTCATGTATAAAAGTATAGGTGTGGAGTAACTCCATTAACATTAATGACCAAATGAAAATTTCTACCAGTATGAGGCCACTGACAGACATTCACTTAAAGATGTAATGGGATCTGATGGCAGGATGCGTGATTTTAGGTTCAGGAATTAGATCCCAAACACACCTTATTTGCCATTGCGAGGGGATCCCAGGATCAGGGTCAAGGATCTACTTTCCGATCCCAAGGTCCCCATGCATTGGTGTTGTCAGCAAATTGCAGGTGCAGTCCAGCTGCATATGCACTTTTTAGAGGTCCCAGCCTGATGGGATTGGAAAGATGCTCCCTAATCCTGAGGTACCCTTGCAGGGACCTGTAAAATGAGGTATGCAGATATGGTTTTATTACTCACCATGGCACACAGAGACCCTAGAATCAGGCTATGGCAGCCTGATCCCAGAGTTCCTGTGCTCCAGGCACCAATCCTGTTTTCCCATTGTTCTGGGACTCTTGAAGAGTGCAGGTGCAGCTGGGTTTCTGACATCCCTGGTGTATGGGGACTTCAGGATTGAGGAGAGCACCAAGCACGGGTGATGTCAGGCTCACCGTGCTCCCCACACCTGTCTCCGGGTGGGACCCAGGGGCCAGGAACAAGTTTTACCCCCAACCCAACTGGGCCCAGGGTTGCTGGATCCTGACACTCAGCTGAATATTGGAATCTGTCAAGCACTGCCAGCCCCAAGCTGATACACATTCAGTTTAAAGCGCCCTACAGATGAGCCACAGAGTTGTTACATAATTTATGTGGAATAACTTTGTGGCTCATATTGTATTATTATGCCATAAACTGACTTGAACCTGTGGCTGGGTTTTTATTTAAGGTGCAGTTAACAGGTTACTTGCATCTTAATGTAATGTGTCATGGGTCTAAGTTACATCAGAATACAATCAAACATCATGCTTCTGGAGGCAGTGTTTAAACCTAACACAGGCATATACCCTTGCTATTAAAACCGTTCTCTTGTACAGGGGTTTCCCCCCACAACTTCTAACCTGTGGGTGAAGCCTCCAAAAGTTGGGAATCAGAGTTTGGTCTGCCATTTTCTCCTTTTGGTCTCATCTAACTGCTTCCATGTGTTAGACACTATTTTAGGCTTGAATCTTGCTTTCTAGCGAAATGATGAGAGATGCATAAAATAAATAATACATGTCATATAATGTATACATCTTTATATTTATCATAAAATGGAAACAATGTAGGGCAGTTTATTTCCATTTCTGTTCTATGAAGCAAACAAAGGACAGGGTTGGGGGGGCTTTTTAAGTCAGTGGGGGAAAAAAACACTGTATTTTCTTGTTTGAATCAATAACTGTTACTTAGACCCTGCTCTTTAAAGACTTCAAATGCAAATGCTTTTTGCTTTGTTATAAACTGTTATTCTTTTTTTGCCTTCCTGTAACTGGAACAACATACTAATTTCTACAAGTTGTGACTACTAACAGAGAGCAATCACCTCACAGACTTGTACCGGAAAGAAGAGACCATTAGCGTCGCCAGAAACGGCTGCATCCACAGTCCCCGCTTCCCGAGTAGCTACCCCAGGAACCTGCTACTGACATGGAGGCTCCACTCACCGGAGAACACAAGGATACATCTGGCCTTTGACAATCAGTTTGGACTGGAGGAGCCTGAAAATGATATCTGCAGGTGAGTGAGAAGCTTTCCAGAGAACTAAAGTTTTCATGTCAATTTAAAAATCAGCAGAAGGCTGTATGCATTGACACCCAGTTGCCTGTGGCCATGCACACTTTTTCCTGCTGGCAAAGCAGTGCCTATTCTGTGAGTACCAGAAAATTTCTGCCACCACAGGGGGGCCACCGGAAAGTATGTGTAGATACCAGTGTACTTTCTTCGGATAGCTGCAGCTTCTTTGGTGCCTCCTAGAGGTACCGTGTGCCCCCTGCCAGCACAACTGCTCTACTAGAGATACACGAATGGTAAGAGCCACCCAATCTGTGCAGTTGAGGACATGTGGTGGTGGCTTCCCTGGGGCAGTGCCTGTCTGTCAGCAGAAGGCCTGTAATGTAGAAATGCCCATGTGTAGTGTTTTGGAAGGGTTGCTTTAGGCACCTCTGTCAAGAAGGCTTGCCCAACACAACAAACCCAATTCTAAAGAAATGTACCTGCCATGGACCCAGCTGCCTCCTTGCATTACATTTTAAGTGCAACACACTCAAGTATCTTATACTCCTGGCTAACCAGCCAAATAATAACTGAATTGGGGTCTTCCTCAGTTAATTAACAGTAGATGTTGCCTGCTGTGAAAAACTTTTCTTTCACTTTTTCAGGAAGGCATTCCTTTTTGGAGGACAGGTAAAAAATAAGGGTTGGGAGAGTGGTATGTATGCTTTTGAAGTTGTGTGACTGATAATCTATCCAATTATGACCAAAGCAACCAAACTAATGGGAGGTTAAATCAATTTTGTGACTGCTTTGCATTTCCAGTGCATACAGATTAATTGGCTTATAATAAATAAAGTAATATAAAATTCCTGGTTATTATTCATATGCAGGTTTTGTATGAGAGAAAGGCCCAAAGCCTATGTGTATTTTCCATACCTTCAAATGCCAGATTTTTGCATTGATATTAAAAAAGCTAAAGCAACCACTTTCAATGTTCTGCCAAATTGTTATTAATTATGGTTATATCTTTCCAAAAATCACACCCAGCCCCTGTTTATCATAACATCTATTAGTTTGCCTTTATAGACTTTGTTTGGCAAGTCTGTGGGACTTTGTCATTATTATTTTTAATGCTCTGCATTACCATTGAACAGAGAATACCATTCCAGCAGGTTTGTCTTCCATTTAATAATAAAAGAATGCAGACTCAAACTGGCCTTCCCTCTCTGCATGTTTATTATCTTGGCAGCTTTTCTTTGCTCTGCTGCTGTTGGTCTGAGAGCAATAGCAGTGTAAGTAATGACAGTTACCTTCTAGTACCAGAGAGGCGATGCCAGAATATAGCGTCTACTGCACACAGAAGAAGCCTGTTCATATTTATATTGAGAATAAACTATGGCTGACCTTAAATCATTTCAACCTTGAAACACAGGGCTAATTTACTGTGGAAAAAGATGAAGTATTCTATTTTAAAGGACCATTAAAGGTGATGACATGGTGAGAGGAAGTCAAGTCATTATCGACAGACTGGATTTTGACCATGGCTGCAGACAATCTGCTGGCTTTCAAAAGCTGCTAATTTATGATGCGAAGAAGAACATACCTTCCAAAATCTATAGAGTCTATAAAAGCTGGAAAAATACTACATATTTTGCAGAAATACAGAATTGCCTTCAGTTATTGGAAGACTTTTATTTGCATGTCATTATTTCCAGAATGAGGACATTCTCAGGGGGAATGCATGTAATGACTTTCAGACTTGTTAGAAACATTATTATAAGTATAGGGGTATTTTTACCACTTTAGAGGAACTTTTAAAAAAAGCAGGTCTTTTCCTCCACTTTACTCTCTGATGCTCTTTCAGGTTCCACTTCAGCAAAGGGGGTTCATCTACACCAGATGCTACGTCACCTAACGTGCAATAGTGAGCCTGTATTGGCAGGCACAACCATGATGCAGCAGCTGTCACCATAGCGACACACTCCTTTGCTATAGTACATTGCTACGGCGACATAGCGGCTAAAAATAAATGCACTGCTGGCACAGCATGGTAACGGCTGTTACTGCACCATCATTTAGTACTTCCTAAAAGTAGTACTAAATGACAGCACAGTAACAACAGTGCCATAGGGGCATGTGTAGATATGCCCAGGATGTTGTTAAAATTTAATTATGTGCCTAAAGTTAAGCATGTACATAAATGCCTTGCTGAATGCACTGCTGAATAAGGACCCCCATGCCTCTGTTCCTTTCTTACTGCTTTTGTCCTCACTCTTTTCCCACCAGGAACTTCCTGACATGTTCTTTCACTTTTTCATTAATATTAATAATGGTAATCTACATAATTATGAGCATTAAATTGATTAAAATTCATTTGGGCTGTGAGATGAAAACATGAATTTTTAACTTAACTATTTCAGAACAGAGAAAAAAAATCTGAAGCTTTAAAAATATTTCTGCATTTGTTATTGGCACCTCTGCAATCATTTGAGAAGGAGGGTTTTAAAAAGCACTGAAATTATCCAGATAGTATGAATTTTTGGTTGCCCAGAAATGGATACAAATCCCCTTATCTCACAGGTTTCCCAAACCAGTTCCAACTATCAGCCCTCACAATTTCTTATGAACCATGTACTTTTATGATCAAACTTTCAATTAAAGATGGGATGCAGTTGACAGGCTACTTACCCAGGGCCTAATGACCTACAGTTTGAAAACTAGAGATGTATCCAGGTTCCAGGATGCTTGTATAAAAGCTGTTCTTACTGTAAGCAGACCTGGTTCCAGTAAAGTTACTGGATTTGAACCAGTTTATTCTAGCAGTGAATTTAGCCCCCTCACCCAGCAGGTATAGGTCTATCATTCCTGTAATTTTCACCAAAATGTAGGAGGTCAATTATGGGATCTTGTTGCAACTTGCCAACATATTCTGATAAAATGAATTTTAAATGAAAAGTTAGAAAGGGCAGACAATTGGGATTCACACACATGCAAAAGGGAAGAAATGGAGATTGTGGAACTCAAACCCAAGAGGAGACAGAAAAATATTAAATAAGTAGGAGTCACTAGGTAGGCTCTAAAACACCTGCAACACGCTTTTGAGCAGAGGTCAGAATGAGGCTAGTGAACATGCCTGTAACTCATTTATCTAAAACTAAGTTTTCTAGTAACAGGAAAAAACATTGGTAGCAGAGTTTGGACAGATTTAGTGATGCAGTTACTGTGGATTTCTTGTTTTCTCTGCTGTATAATTTTAGACTGGTGAATATAAATGTTATAATGCGAATGCTTTCTAGCTGCATCACATTTACATTTTTCTCATATGGTTCCTTGGCAGCAAGAGCAAACCAAATATGTTATTTACAGTACATTTCAGACACCAGTAGCTAGGTAGAGAAGGATATCTTTGATCCAGAAGTCTCAAAGAACAGAGAAGCCCCTTGATAATACGATTCTAATAAGAATCAATTAGCAATGGTTAATCTCTGTTTTGAGGGCACACGTTTTGATAACAAAAGTCCTTCATGAGTAAAAAAAATCTGAAATTTTAGAGCTTAACTGTTCAGGGAAGTTTTCTTCTCCATCCATTTGTCATTTTCCTCTGTTCTGGACTTCTGTCTGCTTTGGCAACAGCTTTCTTCCACAGGTGGGAATATGTAGATCCTGAGCAAGAACCTCACTGAGGTCAATAGGATAACTCCCATTGACTTTAATTTCTTTCCTATTGTGTATCTTACAGCAAGACTGTGGAAAACTCAAACTATAAATGCTATTGACACATGAAGACACAAGCAGATGTTGTTTTGCTATGAGAACCTCTGCTACCATAGTGTGGGTTTTTGTCCCCACCTTGTGGTTAGCTCATATATAACTGCTGGAGTATGAGCTACTGCCTTGACCTAATTTTGCATATGCTTAAAATTAAAATTGGTCCATTCCTCAAACATTTGAGTGTCACATCTACAAATCATTTACTTGCAATGTGAAACAGTTAGAATGGTAATCTATAATGGCAGAGCATATTTTCTGTTATACTCCAAAAGCAAGAAAAAAACTCCTAAATATCTTAGTTTCTTAGAATATGACAGGTATTGTGACCATTTGTGACTTATAATTGAATACTGTGTAACAGAGCCCACCATATGTTTGGCTTAATTTCTTGAGCAAAGTTCTGTTTTGTTGTAGAAGCTTTATGTAAGGATAATGTGTTAAACTATCAAACTGATTTCTAGGTATGACTTTGTGGAAGTAGAAGATATATCTGAAACCAGTACAGTTATACGAGGACGATGGTGTGGACACAAGGAAGTTCCTCCAAGAATAACTTCAAAAACAAACCAAATAAAGATAACCTTCAAATCTGATGACTATTTTGTGGCTAAACCGGGATTCAAGAGTTGTTATTCCCTTGTGGTAAGTAACTTAACTATTCAGTGGAGAAAAGAAAGACTAGTCTAAAAGAACAGAAGATCTGAGGGACTGAATAGGATGCACTAACCTACCCTTGTGGTAGGGAGATACCATGATCTAAAAGATGGTGATGGTCCAGGTGGTTTTACTGTACCTGGAAGGTGAGATCCTCTTCTCCCCAACCATGAATGACTGGGTGTAGTTGAGGGTGGAAACCTGTCCTTTGCACTGCAGGCAGGTACCCCTATGAGAGTCTGCTATAGCCTCTCAATGGGAGGATCTCAGCTATACATTTTATGGCTATGGAGGATTGCTCCCAGGCTTTCCATCTAGCTTGCCCCTTCAGCCTTTTGACTAGGGGCAAGCGAAACTAGGAGGGATCTGAAACCCCAAAGCATCCAGGATTGGGGCTTGCAAGTAGGATGCCTGCTATGGATTTGGGAGTGTCTAAAACCCAAGACTGATGAGTCTAAGAGGTAGGATACGTGCTGGTGGTAGCACCATATAGACCTGAACGACTGAGCTCTGGTTCATCAATGGAATTTGGAGCTTATTTGACTAATTTGTCCTGACACATGAAATTAAAATAAATAAATAAGGGGTTGGGGGTGGTATTGCATATGTGGCCTTTTGGGCTAAAATCAAGTGTAGTTATAGGTCCCTTGCATTCTAGGCAAACTGACCCTGTAAGTCTCCCCAGATGTGAGGATCTCAGCTGCACAATTTTGTGGCAATGGAAGATTTCCTTTTGTACTTTCACCCTAGCTTTAAAGTTTGGGGGAAGCAGAGAGCAAAGAGCTATCTAATCCCCAGATTTATTTTCTCTGCTGTACCAATGGAATGGGAACACGTTCAAGGCAAACCTCAAATAATTAGATTCTATACCTGAAAAATTTTAACAAATTTATAAATTTTCCATTTAGAGAATCTAATTATTGGGGGTCATCTTATAATCAGAGCCATCTTCTATTTGAGTAAACATGGTAAACTAAATTAGACACAAAGCCAGCATAGGATTTACACTAATACATTTCAAAACTGCTAACAAGTTCTGCACCAAGTTTGCTATTTGGGTGTGTTGATAAACACTTGCAGCCAATAGCAGCTACTGTTTAAATTCCATTTTTATTCTTGTCAAACAAAAATACACTATGGGGTTACAGCTATGATTTGAAGATGCATGGTAAGATGCAATAAAATACACAATGAAGGGACACAATGTGCCAGAGTTCAGACTGTAGTTCTAAAATCTCTGGGTTTTTGGTAGTGCTCTTTTTGGCACGTACCACTTGCACGAGACAAGCTTTCTGGATTTTTGTAGGAGGCACAAATGCTCATTTGTATAAACAGATTTGATGCAAACATATATTCCACATATTATCCTGAAGAATGTTATAATCATTTTGGTGCAGTGTAGCTTAGCAGTGATGAATTTTGCAGTTAGTCACGGAATGGTAGGTAGTAATTTATTACACTGTCATCATTTTATTTTCATATCCATCATAGTTCATTTTTTTAAATTCAATTCCATGTTAATTCACCAGAATAAGAAAGCCTGTATAATAATAAAGTTACAGTCATACTAGGGAAAATGCAGCACTGATGCTATTTCACTTCAACCTAATGGCTTGAAGTGAATGTGAGCTATTGTACTGAGGACGTATCTACACATGTGCTTTGATACGCAGTAACCTGTTTTACTGCTCATTAAAGCACCACATAAAAACATGCTATTATGCTAATGCACAGTAAAATAGGCTACTTTGCATTAAGTAAAAACTGCTCAGTTACTGCACATTAAGGCAGCCTAATGTGCATTTGTTTAGTACCTCATGTTGGAGGTATTAAATTTAATGTGCATCAGGAAAAGCACCTACCTGCACATGCAGATGCACCCACAGAGGCCATTCTACAGTAGTGTAACCTAGTGTGGGTAAGTGGGGTACCAGCTCAGGGCACCAACTTAGCAGAGGCACCAGAATGTTGCCTCCACGCCCAGGGAGTCTGCAGAAGCAGCCCCATGGTGTTGATATTGCAGCAGCAGCTGGGTTGCATGGAGACTGCACTGCTGCTATGCAAGCAACAACAGAGGAATGGAAACCACACTGTAGCAGCAGCTACCAGGTACTTACCTGGGGACGTGCCTGAAGCAGGTAAGACTCCCATTACCTTTACTTCCCTCTGGTATTGACCAGCGGGCCTGTGCCAAGAGGCTAGTATTCGCTTCAGATTCAGATTCAGCCAATTCGGGGGACAGCGATTCAATTTGGTGATTCGAATCACTGTCCCAAATCGATTCAGCTAAATCTGATTCAGAGATTTGGCTCCTGTCGAATCTCCAAATCACCCAAGCCAGGCCCATCTCCTGCCCACTCTCCCAGCCCAGCAATGGCTGCCCTGCCTTCCTCAGCTCCCAGTACTTTGAAACAAAAAGCCCCAACTCACCGAATGCTGCCGGGTGTGTGGGGGGCAATCCAAGCTGCCCTCCACTGCCCCACACTGCTGGGGGGGGCGCTACATGATTCCCCCAACCCTCCCCCACTGTCCCAGCTCCCCCATGGCTCCCCCCC